TTTTTAGAGCACTGTTGTCACTAGAAAACATAAAGAGGAAATTCAAAAAGGTGAGGAGAGAGAAGCTGTCGCATCATAAACTCAGGAATTAAGAGCCCTAACATATAGCGCTGCATTGTAGATATCCTGAGTTATCAACAGTCATTTGATTTTTTCCCTTTTTATGTAAAAGAATGTGCTTATTAATTAAAAAGTGAGATACTATTTACAGCATTTTCAATTTTCAAAAATCTTATATTGATCAGGGAAGTAGTCTCATCCTCTCAGATTTGATGGGATTATGAATGGGTGCTAAGTTTCTGTGATAAAGCTTCAATATTACACCTACCCATTTCTGCAGCAATTTAAATTTTAGGACTTTATGCTGTGGTATGTTAGGAATGTGTACAAAGTTTATGTTATATGTTAATATAATATATACAAACATATTAAGTGTTATATATTTTTAAAACCATAAATAATCTAAGTTTTTAAAATAAAATGAGATTGGCTAAATAAATTATGACATAGCTATATAGTAATATTCTTTATGGTCACAAATCTTGATTTATAGATGTTTTAATAATATGAAAAATATTCAGGATATATAATAAATTTAAAAAAATAGCATGTATTATTTAACATATATTTAATACACACAGATTCAAACACTAGAATGAAATATACCAATATGTTAAAATAGTTTCAGTGGTTATTTTGAGTAGTAGGTAATCAAGTTCTTTCCTTCCCTCCCTTCATTCTCTCCTTCCTTCCCTTTTTTACTTTCCTTCTTATTTTTGCTTTTCTCTATTTTTCAAGCTTTGGGGCTTTTATTTTATAATTCGAAGAAATACACTGTTTTGTTTTATTTATAACATTATCTTATACAATTCTGCTATTTGAATTTTCCTTAGGGAATTTAGTTGGAAAAAGAAAGTGAAAGAATTGTGTTCTTCTCTTTTCTGTTTGATGCCATTTCCGATAATAGCCCGAAGGTCTCTTCCCTCTTGGCTGAAGTGGGGAGAAAATAGGAAAAGGAGGACCAGCATTCCACTGTGCCTTTACCAGAAGAAGACCTGGAAAACAGTGGCACCCTGTTTATTTCCCTTCAGGAAATAATTTTTTTTTTTTAAAGGCAGAGATTTCTATTTCTTTTCACATGGTTTGATAGTTAAAGAACTGGTAGAAAAACAAGTTAGGTATTTGCTGTATAATTATTTTGTGGCATTTAAACATGTATTTCTTCTCCACAAGAGTCATGAAATTAGTTCTATCTTTAATATATAAAATTTAATGATTTAGCCCTGGCCGGTTTGGCTCAGCGGTTGGAGCGTCTGCCTGCGGTCCGGAGAGACTCGGGTTCGGTTCCCACTAAGGGCATGTACCTGGTTGCAGTTTGTCCCCGGCCCTGGTTGGTCATGCGGGTGGCAGCCACTCGATGTGTCCCTTTCACATCCATGTTTCCCTCTCTCTCTCTTTCTCTCTCTCCCTCCCACTCTATCTGTACAAAAAATGGAAAAATGTCCTTGGGTGAGGATAAAAAAAAAAAATTAATGATTTATAGCTCTTCTGATATCTCAGAACATTTTTCTTATAAGTTAGTAAGTCTAGGCTTTTACATTTTCTAATTAAGGTCTGAATATAACTTTTCAAGGAAACCAAAACCAGTCATATTTAAAAGCCAGGATAAGAAAATAGGAAAAATAATGTGCAGTAATGACTAAAAGCAGTTGACTATGTCCATTTTCAAACTTGGCAGTCTTCTGATACTGCAGTCTTGCGTTTAGGGAAGGTGCATAGCTCACTGCAGGTGAAGAAACACTGAGAACGGAAACTGGCTGTGGCAGACAGCGCTTACGTTGTGCTAACAACGGTGTGTATAGCCTGACATGAGCAGATGGTATGAGTTTCAAGAATATTACGCTTATGGTAGATAAGTGAAGTTTATGCCAGAATATATTTTCAAACAATCTTTTTAACAAAGGGAATCCTATCAGCAAAATTATCATAGGTGCTTCATGCATTTCTTTTTAGAGAAAACTGATGGTATAACCAGTGTTTTAACTTCACCTTTTAACTCATTTCCATGCTCCTGGTGTCCCATGGCTCCCAGATCGAACACCAGGGCATTCTAGGCCCATGATTCAGGCAAGTCTGAGTCTGTCTGTGGGGTAGAGATACAGTATGCCATGCTTCTATTTTCCCAAAGGCCAGATGAATTCTATAGGCAGGAAGTCATGACCATGAAAAGGTCTGAGAGCTATGGGCTGTTTTCGGGACTCCCTGCAGGAACTTCTAGTTTGTTCAGTGTCAAGGAAAGCCACTGCTAGTGAACTGAAACCGAAGGAATAAGGAACAAAATGGTGGACTTTGCAAGAACAAATTCTTGAAATACTTATGACAAACAAATGGGCGGGGAGGGATTCCCAAACTATGGGAGGTCCTTGAGGCTGTTGATTCCTGCAGACACTATGGAGATACACTCTTTTGGATCCATTATGGTTACCCTGGTCTTACTCTCAACATTGGGTCATCTGGAAAACATTATTTTTATATCCCATTTGAAAGATAGTTTTCAGGTGGCATACACAAAAGGCACATATGTGGGCTTCTTGTTCCTGCCTTTAAAACAGTAGCCTGGCCAGTGTGGATCAGTGGTTGAGCATCAACCCATGCACCAAAGGGTCATTGGTTCAATTCCCAGTCAGGGCACATGCCCAGGCTGTGGGCCAAATCCCCAGTAGGGCACATGCAAAAGGCAGCCAATCGATGTTCTATCTCATCGATGTCTCTCTCTCTCTCTCTCTCTCTCTTTCTCCTTCTCTCTCCCCCTTCCTCTCTCTCTAAAATCAGTAAAGAAACCAAACAAAACAAAACAATAAACACTAGAGGTATCATTTGGAGAAAACAGCAGTTACCAGGAAATTAATTAGCCAGGTTGAAAAAAAAAATCCTTAAATAGCTTTTAATCTTCCAAATAAGAAATCTTTATTCTTGGGTCAGACTGATAAATGAGGTGGCATTTAGACTGAGAGATTGGATTCATCCCTTTGGGGTGCAACTGAGCATCAGACACACTTAATAGACATATTCTATGGTGTTACACTGCTTTCTTAGTATTGCATAGCTAGTCACCTTTCAAGCATTTGTATGTGATTTGGAAAATATTTTATTTTATTTTTATTTTTTTAAAAAATCTTTTAGAACAACCCAGTAACAACTTCAAGATAAAATAATTTTGTACGCACTTCATAGTTCCTTCCTATTACATGAATGTGTAAATTGAATTCTCTCAAGATGAAGAAAAAAGCCCGTCAGAGAAAGACTAGTATCACATGATCTCACTTATATGTGAGATCTAATGAACAAAATAAACTGACGAACAAAATAGATCCAGAAACATTGGAAACATGGAACAGACTGAGGACTCAGAGGGAAGGGGGTGGGGGAAAATATTAACTAAAGAACTTGTATGTGTATATGCATAATCCATGGACACAGAACATAGTGGGTTGAAGACCTGGGGGCGGGGCCGGCGGGAGCGGGGTGGGGCCAGAGTCCGAAGGGGGAAAAAGGGAGGACATCTGTAATACTTTTAACAATAAAGATAAATTTTTTTTTAAAAAAAGGAGAAACATGGGTTGGCTTCCCAAAAATGTTTTCATTGGCTTTAGGAAACTAAAACACACCAGTCTGGGTGACTAATACTTCCTGTAAAATAAAGATAGATCAACACATAATTAAGTTCTGGCTCAAATATAATTGTTGTCTTGAAACAGTTTTGGGGATAAATATGATTATGCTAATGAAACTCCATGATTCCCACCAATGATCCAGTTTATTAATTAGGCCAAGGCATTTTAAGACATTGTGCTACTCATTTTGAAATATTTAAAGTGTTAAAAATGATTCCTTAAAAAAAACAAAAACAAAAAAAAAACACTGAAGAAAATAAAAAAGTGATAAATCCTAAATTAGTTAGTTATCAGCTCTCACAAGGATTTCAGTTGGAGGAGTAGGTTAAAGTGCTTTTTGGCTTATTTGTGGGTTTCAAAGATCCTTCTTTCCCAGTTCGACAGGAAACAGAGAGTTGCATATATTGCATTTTGAACGAATAATTCCTAGAGTTATTTCTCTGAACTCTTTGAGGGACTTAAAACAGGATGGACCCGAGAAGCAAGAGAAAACAAATCCTCGGGAGCCAGTGTTTTCTGGTTCCAGCTTTGACTATAGAGTCCTTTTGTAGGAAGTTCAATGCGTAGTCCGAAGGGCAGCCTGCCTGCTCCGAAGGGTTTTGTTGAGGCCGAGTGTGAAGTCTGGGCGCGAGAGCGCATCGCGGCTCTTAGATCACACCCACCCGGGGTGTGCGTGTGAGTAAGCGCGCGTGTGCCTGCGCGCGTGTGTACGTGTGGGGAGGTGTGCGCCAAAGGGGTGGGGTCAGGGGCAGTGAGGAGGGCGCTAGGTGAAGCAGGATCAGAGGGAGGTCGCGCGGTCAGGCCTCTCCCCCAGGGACCCTGCAGCTCGCTCGCGTTCCGGCTGCACCTCCCGGTGCGCGCCGCGGCGGTGCCACAGGCCCCTAGACCCTTGGACCACCGTCCTCCAGCCGCCCGTTCGGCGCGGCCCGCAGCGGGGACAGGCGATGGCGCGGGACTGACGCCGCCTCCCTCCGGACCCCTCTGCCCCGCCCGGGGCTCGCGGCAGCCCCGGCGCCGCCCCGATCTGCATGTGGGACGGGCGCGCTCGCGTCGGGAGTGAGCGGCCCTTGGCGCCCCCGAGGCGGTGCCCGGCCGCGCGGGAGGACGAGAAGGAGGTGCAGCGGGCCGGGCCCGGCTCCCCACGCGCCGCGGCCCGGGAGCACGGGCTCCCTGGAGGGAGCTCGTGGCGTCCCAGACCCGGAGGAGGGACCCGGAAGCAGAAGCAGAGCCGCGAGTGGAGCCGAGCCGCTGCCCCCGCTGCCCGCCGGCGCCGGGTGGGGGTCCCGGCGGCTGGATGGGCAGCGGCGGCGCGGGCCGCGGGCGGCGATGGGTGAGGAGCAGAGCACGGTGAGCGGCAGCGGGCCCCCGGAGGCGGGGGACCCTGCTGGAGGCGCCACGGGCCACCCCGAGCCCCCGAGGCCGCGGGGGGACAGCGGCGGGGCGCCCGGGCCGCACGCCACCTCCGCGGATCCGAACGGCGGTGGCTGCGGAAGCGACTCCGGCTGCGCGGACCTGAGCGCCCCGGAGCCCGCGGGGAGCCGGGGGGGCCCGGGCTGGACGGAGAGCCAAGCACCCGGGCAGCCCGCAGGACTGGCACTCTCAGGGCCCCTCAACCCCCAGACTTTGCAACAGCAGCTTGAAGAGGAGGAGGAGGAAGCTGAGGACAGAAAAGAGGGAGGATATGAACCGCAGGAGGCAACCCCCGGAGAGGAGCCGAAGCCCAGGACCCGCGTTGGGGCCCCGGACGCCCTGGTCCTGGACGTGCTGGGTCAGCGGCGTCCGCCCCCCGCCAGGAGACAAGTCTTCTGCTCCGTGTTCTGCGTGGAGAACGTCCTGCCCCAGGACCCCACTGTTGAGCTGCTCTCGCCACCCGCCTCGCCACCTCGGGCTCCGCCAGTGATGGACCCTCCCAGCACGCCCTCCTTTCCCAGCCCCCGGCTGTCCCTCCCAACGGACTCCCTGCCCCCCGATGGCGGCAGCATCGAGCTGGAATTCTACCTGGCTCCCGAGCCTTTCTCCGCGCCCAGCCTGTTGGGAGCTCCACCCTATTCTGGCCTGAGTGGGGTAGGGGATCCCTATGCGCCCCTCATGGTGCTGATGTGCCGGGTGTGCCTGGAAGACAAGCCTATCAAGCCCTTGCCCTGCTGCAAGAAGGCCGTGTGCGAGGAGTGCCTCAAAGTCTACCTGAGCTCCCAGGTAACTTCACTCTTTCTGCCCCCTCCTCTGTGCTCCATTCAGCATTCCAAATCACTGGCCGGGAAGTGCTGCTCGCCAGATCCCTGCTCACAGGAAGAGGTGCTTAGACACCCTTCCCGGGAACCTTTATCAGTTTCTTATATATCAGTTTTTGTAATGTAATTATTTAAGTGTGTTTTGTCCTCACTGGTTAACTTGAGTGGAATTTAGCTCTGCTCTGAGCTTCAGGCTTTGGTTGCAACCGCGGAAGGAACAGGGTACAGTGAATTGCCCTCTGCTTATTTCATTTACTAGATAGCAAGCAAGAGCTTGCTCAAAGAGGAGGGCAATGAGAGAGCCTTATAGGCCCGGCCTGTCAGCAACTAACTGTGGGCGTAAAATAAATGTGTATTGACTTGGTGGACAGAAGGGTTGGAATTAATATTTCTGGTCCATGATACCTGAATTTAAAAAAAAAATTACTCTATTTATATTTTCCGGAAGTGCAATTTACTCCTTGGCCCTTGCCTACTTTTCAGTTTTCTTTTTCCACAGTAAAGTTGAAGTGCTTTTCCTCACTGAACTTTTATGCCAGCACAGTGCTTTATTTCTTTAAGAGGGAACAAAACAGAAAGAGCAAAGCACAGCTAAGCGGTTTAATAAAACAAGTGCTGGTGAAACTTTCTCACCTTCTTATTTGAAAGCTTAGTGTGCTTTTTTGTTTTGTTTTGTTTTGTTTTCTCCTGCAAAGATTAAGAGTGCAGCAGGCCTGCTGCTTTCCTTCACTGAGGGTGAATGCGTTCTTCCAGCAGTTTTCAATGTTATGTTTCTGCCAGTGTTTTTTGTACAATCTGGAATGCCCTTTGATCTCCTGTCTGATTATCCTAGGCCTATTCATCTTTCAAACCCTGGCTGTTCAGGTGCCAACTTTTCTATGAAGCCTCCTCTCAATCTCCAGGCCACTGTTTATATACTTTCAAAATACTTCTGTGTTTTACATTCACTGAAGTTGTTCCTTATGTGTCTGTTTGCCTTGCCAGACTGTATGGACAATGTCTTATATTCCCTGTATCGGGTAGTTTCATGTTGAGCCTCTTTCCTTTAATAGTGTTTAATAACATTGACTGAAGGGAACGGAACAAGATTCCACACAGCACAGTGTGATTCCTTTGTGTTTTGTGACTAATCTGTGCTTGTGTCTAGACTGAAAATGCAAAGGGAAATTTAGACAGAATGGAATGTTACACAGACAGTAACTTGCCCAAGATTGTTGAGATTATCTAAATGCCTGTAAGAGACTATGCTGTTTCTTTCTTGCCTTATCCACAAACAGATACTTAAAACAGGAAGATGTTGGCTGCTCATTGTGGTGTTTTCTGTGACATCACCACCAAACAAAATCCAACCGTCAAACAGCTATTGGTGCCATCCTTGTACAATGTCATGGGGTGGGATTCAGACATTTCCATTATATGGGCCCTGCTCTTATGAAGTCACTGTGAGAGCAGATGTGTACACAACAATACAAAGTAGCATGAGATGTAAACAGAGTAACAATTCCAGGTAGTGCTTAATGTTAAACACTGGATACAAATACAGTGGGTTACAAGTTCATAAAGGGTAGTCACTATGGGTAGGGGTTCTCTGCATTGCAGTTCCCCAAAGCAGATTTTTTTTTTTTTTTTAACTTCTGTGAGTTAGTTTTAGGAAGTCAATGTTTTGATCTCTAGTGGAGAAGTGGGAGGGTGCAAGATGCAGAGTCATGGCAATACACAACCACTAAAAACTCCTCTGAAGGGTGATAGTGTCTGAAGGTTGTCTGCAGCATTTATGATTGTATATATGTTCCTGACCTTCTTCCAAAGCACTTGGCAGAACTTTCAATAAAGAAAAATGTTATATTTAAAATAACAAACAATAACAAAAAGATGAGTCATGCAGGCCAAGCACGCTCCCATCTCAGGACTTTTGCACTTGTTCATAGTGCCTGAAATCTCCCTGGTGCTGGCTTACTCCTCCCTTTCTCCCTCCCAGGCCTGGGTGCAGATGTCACCCGCGTGGCCTTTGTTAACCACTCTTTTTAAAGATGAACCTCATTCTACACTCCTGATCTCCTTTCCTGCTTTTCATTTTCTCCATAACTAACATGCTCTATACTTCTGTAATTAACTACCATGAAGACAGGAGTGTCCTCATGATTTGTTCACTACTGTATCAGTAGCATGAAGAACATTGACTTATAACAGATGCTCAACTAACAGTTATTGAATTCATAAAGAGCTGAGTGACAAAGAAAGGATGAGATAACCCCAGAAACCATGGCTGGCAAGTGGTGGTCTGTTTGGGCATAAGTTCTCTTTGAGCTTCTTGATGCTTAACACAAAACAAGTCTTCTATAGCAATAGTTCTAACATAAGAGACAAAGACAAAACTGATAGGTTTGCTGTTTGTTATTCACCTTAGAACTAAAGAGTTTTTGGGCAAACTTTTAGCATATACAAAAAATGGCATTTTTTTAGTTGGATGAAAATGTGGGCTTGTAGTTGTGATATATCCGATCTCTGTTGGTTCTAAGGTCCCTTCTATTCAGAGGGTCTGTGTTTCTGTGTCACTTCACCTTTCTGTATGTCTTAATTTCCTCATCAATGAAGTGTAATGGCAGATCATGATCTGTAATGACACACCAGCTGTAAAGCAAAACACAATCAAACTGCAGAGTTGTTTTGTTGCCTTACTGAACCAGATCAAAAGGGCCTAGTTAGTGCTTTCTTGCTGATTTTATAAGGTCTCTTGGGTTTGACAGGAGCAAATCTGTCAAGCCTGAACTTACAGCGTTCTTAAGACCTTTTAAAATAAAATGATACATTTCTAATAAAAAGATATCAGTGACCTTTTCACCAGTTTTTGAGTCTGTGCCAAATAATGCATTATTTAACATCACTTAAATAAAGCAGTCCCTATTAGGCATTACATACCAACAGTAAAAATGCATCCGAAATGTGGGTTAGACTATTGCCTGGTTAAATTAACTTTCTCCTAAAAGGAGATGCTGTGTTCTTTGAACGAAGGTACAAATGTGGAGGTGGAAGATAAGAATGCAGATTCTTAGATGAATCTTATGTCCACTTGAGAGGTGGACTGAATACGGAGTAAAGGTCAATGGGTAGCTGTCATCATTATTTCAGTACTGACTTATCAAATTAGTTGGTAACTTAAATACTTCCATACTGTGGTTTAAAAGTAATAATTTTAGCTCGGTCTGTGTGGCTCAGTGGATCAGGCATCGTCCAGTGGACTGAGAAGTCCTGGTTTGGTTCCCAGTCAGGGCACATGCTTGGGTTGCAGTCTGGATCCCTAGTGTGGGACGTGCAGGAGGCAGCCAATCGATGTTTGTTTCTCACATCTATGTTTCTATCTCTCTCTCTAAAAAAAATCAATAAAAACATATTAAAAATAAATAAATAATAAAAGTAATAATTTTATTTTTTAAAACACAATTCTTCAATTATTTCTGTGCCGGAGGCTGTGGGGAACCCTTCTTAATGGAATGACTTTACAGTGAGGTGGGTACCATCTAGTTTCCAATAGCCATGGTGAAGGGTTGAACTGATACATCATCATCTTTGGCTCTGCGTAGGTGATGACTTAGAGGCCCTAGATGCAGCTGTTCTCAACCTATAGGTCGCAACCCCTTTGGGGGTTGAAGGACCCTTTCACAAAGGTCGCCTAAAACCATCGGAAAATGCGTATTTCCGATGGCGACTCATAACAGTAGCAAAATTACAGTTATGAAGTAGCAACAAAAATAATTTTATAATTGGGGGTCACCAGAGCATGAGGAACTGTATTAAAAGGTCCCAGCACTAAGAAGGTTGAGAACCACTGCTAGAGCATCATGATAGAATAGTGGGAGATACATTGTTTCACATTGGGTACATAGAGCTTTTTTCCCTACATAAAATAGTGCAGTTCCCATTGACCTACAAATGCATGCATGAATATGGCTGAAGTGCACAGTCCCAGGGATGTCTGCATCTCCTACAGGTCACTAAGCCATTATAAATGCTGACCTTCTCAGCCGGCTTGGCCTTTACACATTTTCCTAGGAGGAAAGGTTGTTGCTTTCTTTGTTATGTACAATGATCTGAAATAAAATGATTTCATTTCCAAAATTCTCCACAGATCTCTTTCCCTTGTGATTTTGGTTTTAGACAGTAAAATCTGTTATAATAGGAAGTGTTAATATTTAGTACTTTAGATAAAGACAGGAGAGAGTTGGGCATGCTAAGGGCTTTCGAAAGGTAACAGCTGTTGTGGCTTTCATCACTCTGCTTCAAAGTGGTTGCAATTGGCAGATGCAAAGGAGCTGGAATGTATACACCTGTCAAATGAGTATTAATAGAGACGCGCAGAATATTTCTCCTACAGATTTTGAACAAAACAGCTGCTAGATGGCAATGTCCTAAAATGACAGTCTACTGTAGTTGTCCTAGAATCAGTGACCTAGGGGCGAAAGCGCATCTACCCTATTATTAAACTCTGAGTCATTCAGACCTTTATGGGTAAAAGCATAGCCTACTTTTCCCCCATAAACCTTAAAGCAACCTATATATTTTTAGAAACTACTGCATTTGGTATGGAGTTTGAATGCAGGTGAATTTACAGATCCTGTCATGCCAGGTATGATTCTGGTAGTCCTAAAAATGTGAAGAATAATACAAGACTGAAATTTGTTAAGTCACTAAGTAAGCTAATTCTTTTGTGCATCGAAATGTGTGTGCGTGTGTGTATGTGTGTATTAGGGGAGGGGAGGTAACATTTGCTTTCATACCTTACTGACTCATGCCCTTATTGTCCTCTTCTGTCTCTTTAATAATTTTTTTATTCCTCTTTAACAATTTCTTTCTTTTTTCTCTGTTGTTCAAATCTGATTTTAACTTGCATTTGATTTCTGTAGAGGAAACCCCTGTTGAAGGCTGAGCTCTGGGCCACCAGGACTGGTCTGGGACTGCCTGGGTGTC